ATACAGACTGATTGGAACTAAATGCAATTTCTCACGGTGGTTATGATTGATTAGAAACTTGGACTATGGTTGGGTTGATTTGCCATGTTTGGGCCCTATTGATTATTATGTTCTTCAAATGTGTAACTTTGGACATACACATGGTAATGTAATTTTTAGAACTACAAGCAAGATTCTACCATCTCCATACAAAATGACTTCCGTGTCTGGAGTTTATCTGAAACTGAGATTGATAGTTGAATTTGAATAAGAAATAGAATGACTTTCAGGTCTGGAGCGTATCTAGTCTGTATCTGATTGCTGAAGTCTGAATGAGTAGTAGAATGAAAAATAAAATTGATCCTTTTTCTTTTTGACATACACAACACCTTGAAACATGTCTTAATAGGTTCTTTAATATCTTTGTTTCATTATTAGTAGCTAGACAAAGAAAACAACCATGTACATTGTACGGTTAACACAACATTAAAACAATGTATAAGAATAGATTTTTGCAGCCTATGGCCCCATCTTTTGAAAGGGATTATTCACTCCAAAGGTGAAACTTCATTGAAGAATGCAAATACCAAACTCATCTTTACTTCATCCACCAATCAAACAGGATGGATAACATTTCAAGAAAAAAAAATGTGAGTTTTCAATTGATAGTGATTTGTAAACCAAAAAAAGATTCTGCATGATTGAGATACTAGAAGTTAGACTGCTATTTTGAAAGAGACATTTCAATGTTAAAATGGATTTTATCAATAGGAATAGATTACAGTGCAAAAGCAAAAGAGCAAAAATATCTGTGTGATATGCATAATGGAAGGAGGAAAGTGACATTCATAGACTTTTATTAAAAAAGAGAGCTCTACAGAACATGGAACACACCATATGACCTGTACCATGTGACCCACATAGTTTATACTTTTGATTTATTTTCATATAATAAATATTTAAATTAATAGATACTACACAATATCATAAAAAAGGGTCAATTTTAATGAAAATTTACAGTAAAATTTACTTCATATAACTTAGCAACTGCAGAATTATGGATATGTCCAATAATATGTATCAATTGCAAAAAGTTAGATTGTGATGTCATAGCTATTTTGATAGTAAAATCTTAAAGTCTAGACCTTAAAAATCTTATGATTTTATGATCTAATTCATCTCTAATAATTTTAATCTTAAGTAGAATTGTGTATTGTAATTAAATTGTATAAAAAAAAAAACCATAAAATCATTGCTTATATGCAATCTTGGTCAATTTCGGCCACGATCAACCGTTTTTGGCCACCACCATTACAAGTCCAAAAGGATCAGAAGATGTCGAAATGTAACAATTACGGTTTGGCAAAAGTCATTTTTCCTAGATTACACTTGCCTACTAAAATATCATGTAAAAAACTTCAAATACATAGTATATTTTTGTTTTTGTAATATCTTACAACTTAATTTTGTTACCATTTTACTGCATACCCCTTCTCGATCTTATAAAATTAGTTTGGTAGGATCATTTGATCTTAGTAACGATCTTATGATTCATGATCTTACTATTCCATACTGATCTTATGTAAGATCTTGATCTTAACAACTTTTACTCGTCTTGTAGTCTTTTTGGTTACACATTTAAAACTCCACTCTCGAGTTTCAATACATATTAAAATTTAATTTTGTGAAATTCTATATACCAACGTGAAAAACAAAGAGACACTTTATTATTTTATTTAGTTAAGATGTAATTTCTTTTGTAATATTGACATATCAGAACAGATGCATGTATAATGTGTGACACATGTCAGTGTCTGCACGACACTAATACATATGTTGCTAGAGAGTTTGAGAAATAACATAAGTGTCAATGAACTAAATGTTACAGATTCAAGAAATCTTGACACCACATTATTAGCTGTAGATTCGACGCTCAAAAGAAACAAGAAATGTCAAGAGGATTATTGAGGAAAATATTTGAAGTAAACAAGCTTCATTCGACGAAGAAGTTGGATATCATTTCGACCGAAGCCTGACAAAGAAGCTTCGAAGTGGCAAAATGGCGCAATGATGGGACTTAGAGTTTTTTATATTCGGAGTGAGTTCGTCAAGAATATTTTGAGACTAGGCTAATAACTGAATTAAGGCTCTATTCGTTCTTTGAAATAGAACACATGGAAGCCTGCAATGGGCAAAGCACATGCAAGTCAGAACGTGTCATTTTCTGAAGAAAAGACTGTTTATTACCGTTACTGTCGAAGTAGTATAAATAGCAATCTTACCATTAGGTTGTTGGCATTTACATTGTACTACAACTCACAAATTCTTAAAGTATCTAATTGTTATTGAGAAAAGAGTGGTCTGAAAAATGTACGTATGAATCATTTCGTTTTTATTCAATTTCAAGTTACTTATTTCAACATCATTTTCATTCTTTTACATTTTCCGTCGAAGTCTATTTACTTTTCTGCATTATTTATCAACCATTTTTGTATTACTTTTAAAGTTTCAATTTCCCATCAAATTAACTATTATCAAGAAGGTTTAAGATATTCTATGGACATATGTTGTAGGATCAATCTAGTCGATCTTGTGAGTAACCAAAATAATATATTTGGAAGACTAACACTTGTTTACCAAAATTCGCGATAAACACACATATATGCCAAAAATCTTAAGATAACAGGAGTAAGAGTCATTTTTCTGTTTTAGTATGTCTTAAAACCTTAAGTAATGAAGAAAAAGAAAACATATTTGAAAATTGAATAAATAATAAATTTATGAAAAGTGAAGATGTAAGCAATTTACCTCAAGTAAAGTGTATTGAAGTTTTGATATATGTGCACCTAACAAAAGAAGAGACGACTGAGATAGTTGATAAAGTCAGAAGTGTCATTATCTTGTGTCTCGAAGATAAAGTTCTAAGGGAAGTCGCTAAGGAGCAGACTGTAGTTACAATATGGGAAAAGCATGAATAATTGTATATGACCAAGTCTTTGGATCACATGTTGTTTCTAAAACAACAACTATTTTCATTTGGAATGGTGGAGAACAAATTAATAGTGGAATAGTTGATAGAATTTCACAAGATTATTTATGATCTTGAGAATATTGAGGTGAAGATTGATGTTGATGACAAAAATCTACTCTTGTTGAGCTCATTAACCAGATCCTTTGAGCACTTTAAGGATGCTCTTATTTATGGTAAGGAATGTATTATTACTTTGGATGAAGTCCACATAGCTGTGAGATCCAAAGAATTTTGAAAGGGGAAAGATTTGAAGATTGATGATAGTGGTGAAGACTTAAGTGTCTTAATAGGAGGAAGTGAATGTAGAGGGATGTCCAAATTAAAAAATGTATTGGTCAAAAAGTAAAAATGTGCATATTATCCCTACAAGGGCATGGGCACCCAGAGGTCTTAATAGATGCATAATAAATAGTGGTGACTAGGACTTGCCTGTGACAGCTAGAAGCCATGTACAATGGTGCTTGTGGGGGGTTTAGAGGGTCTGATCACGTGAGGTGAGATAATCTGTATACGTTTTGATCCATTAGGTATACGCGTATGAGTTAGGTTATATTCCCCTATATCACTTTAAGGGAGAAGTATTTATAAAGGTATTTTGGGCATATGGTTTAGGAAACCCTTAGGGGCGACAACCTCTCCCTCATGACCAGTGGAGATTGTTGACCATATATTCTTCAGGTAATTATGGTGTACCTTCTCTCTTTTGACTAATGAGAGACAACAATATTGTACACATCATCAATCCCAATGGCGAGCCCCCATATTCTGCGTGGATGTCGCCCATATGATATCACTCTTAGGAGGGGACGCCAGAGTCACCTTTGTTTAATACTCTCATAAGTATAACACTACACATTCTTTCAAGCACAAGAGCTTTGCTAAGGGAAAAGTGTTTTCAAGGTTTCTTCCATTTGTGAGGTACGTCCCTCGCCTTAGGGAGAGTCACTCAACTGTAAGCAACTTTTTTAATTAAAGGCAAGTCGCACAGCTTGGGACGAGTCTCTCAATTGAAGGCAACCTTTTTAATTAGAGGTAAGTTCCTCATTTTTGGGTGAGTCCATCAACTAAAGATGACCTTTATCTCTACGTAAGCACTTAATCGAGGGGTAAGTCATCTCCCAATCTCAGATGTCCTCTGATTAGCTAGAAATGTCAGATGGTAATGTCAATTAATCATTCAGATGGTCACACTTACTTCTGTTTAATATAAGTAATCACATGTTTTTCGAGATCTTGATCGCTAATGGCACGTGTCAGAATGGTGCTGTGTTTTTCAAAATCATGGGAGAGTCTAAAGGGTATCTCGTAGTTCCAACTCCCCTATAAAAGCTTTCTTCTTCCATCTCATTTGCTCCATTTTACTCTCTACTTCTGTAAGCTTATATGAACTTCCTAGTTCCTCATCTCTTCTGACTCCTGGTTCATAACCTTCTTGCATGTATGAATTTTCCTTTCTATTGCTTTATGTCGTGAGTAGGCTTTATGAAGAAACATTCAAAATAGGGGTAGTTTATCATAGGGCCATCGGTTTTAAGGACAATAATTTACCCCTTTGATGATTATGACGGTGGTGGAGATTTCTTTTTGTTATATTGTTTTCCCAAAAATGAAGAGACAATGTATACTCCATCTATCATATCAAAGGACATCAAAGATATTGGATCGCATTATACTTCTTATGAACAAATCCTCTATTTCAGATCAGGAGTGAAGGTTTCCTTTTCATAAGATAAAGACAAGATTATTCTGGAGGCTTGTTCGTCGTTAGAGAGGGAAATCATGCTCGTGTCTTATGATCCTCATTATTCATAATTTTACTTCTACTTCCTTTTATCAAGGATATCAGGGTTATTTTCCCTATCTCCCCTTTTTCCATATAGGTTTTGAGGGTTCTCAATGTCGCGCCCTCCCAATTATTTCCTAATAGTAGGGGTTATATCAAGGCCTTCAAGATGTTGATCAGGAGAAGCGAGATAAGGTTGAGAAAGAGATGGAATCGAAGCTCCAGAAGTATGTGGACGCCTATTTTGAGAGTCAGAGGTTACTGAAAGCCCTCTTTAAAGATAGGGAGAAATGGCAGGATAAGAGGGTAGATGTGAAGGCCAATGCTAAAGAGATCTCCAATAAGAAATAATGCTTGTAGGAATTCTTGGAAGAGGTGTCAGTGCTTACTGAAGAGGTGGTGTCTACTTCTGGCTCTACTTCAAGCTCTCTAAAAAGCAAATTTCCTTCCTCTTCCCCAATCTATATATAAGTCAAATGGACTTCCTCAAATTCGTCTATGTTGGTTACCTGGTGGATGAGAAGGCAGTAGCATATGTAGAGCCTAAAAGTCCTGCTCCTATCGAGAACACCCCTAACAAGGGCAGGGCGATGGAAGCTGATGAATATGGAGTCCCTCATCCAGATAATGCTATCAGAAAGGAGATTATTCATTAGGAGAATTGTTGGTTTTGTTGTAGTGTTTCTTGACCCTTAGTGGTCTTTTTATTGTATTTTTCCATCCCTTTGGGGGATTTTCATAATTTGCCCCTTGTAGACGCCTTTTATTTTTAATGCCTTTATTGTTATTCTCTTTTGTGGTCCTTTCAATACGATTATTCCTTTAGCCCTTGGTTAAGGGTGTCGGTTACCATCACCCCTTGCAATAACTTGACTATTGTGATACGGTGGGAGAACTGACTCGGTTGTTTTGCTTTTTATCGCAAATGTTGCGGTTAGAAAGAGTCGCCACTAACTTTTTTTTTTATCCAAAAGGAAAGGTGAAAAAGCACAGGAAAGACCTTTGAGATTATTTCTTGAGTTCGGGGGGTAGATTATGAAAAGGGAAGGTGTTAGACCCTTTTCGTCCATGGTTTTCCATGGGCTCTTAGTTACTTACTAGATCACTTGCTTTTGTTTGAAAATATGCTTTGCGTGGTTTTTGAAAGTATTTTGTAAAGATGCCATCGTTTAGGCAAACCTTGTAATGACTCTCGTTCGTAAGAATGTATACAAAGTTTTGATCTTTTGAAAATGTTTTCAAGTTAGTAAGATGTTTGAAAGTGTAGGTCTTTGTTTTTGAAAATAGAAAGGATGTTTTTGTTTTGAAATTGAGCAAGTAACTAGGAACGTTCTACCTACTCAAAAGTTGTTCATGTTCATTTCCTTTTTCCTTTGACATTGTTATCTTACCATTGATTTAGTAAGTAACCCTATCTTTGGATGTAAAAGGGACGGGCGTGGGTCATCGTATAACCATGATTAGCAATATTGTAAGATATATTAGCATTTTCTTTAGGGACTAAGATCATTTTAAAAGGCAACATTGATAGCGTCATCGAGGGACCATGATCTTGTATTTTTGTTTGCTTTTGCTAAGATATCCCACATGCATAACATGGCCATTTTTGTAAGGCAACAAGTGAAGTTAACCCTAGGGGTGCAAGTGTTCAAGTGTGTTTGATTTACATGCATTGCTTATCTTGAATTATGGTTCTCTAAACATTAATTTTATCTTTCCATTCAAACCCTAATTTACTAGCATTGATATGAAAGCGATAAATTGCGGAAAAGTAAAATTACTACGCCATTACATCATTATGGGGATGGGGTATACAAATGTACAAATGGGGATTTCAATAAAATTAAATCCTAATTACTATTACAAGGCTTTAACAATTACATAATTTATAATGCAAGAAGATGTAAAGTGAGAGAAATTGCTTTTTAGGGTTTTTTATAGAAAAAGGTATTGTAATTAATTTCATTGAAGAAAAAATATAAGTCTAAGTTAATTGTTTAGAAAAGTGTTTTTGAGGTTTCATTTGAAAACAAAGGTTTTATAATGTTAGGTCATTTCCAAGCAATGCAATATGTCCAAAATAAACTCAAAAATCTATAATAAAAAAACAAGAAATTTGGTGCCTGAGTTGACACGGGCCGTGTCAGTGGACACGGGCACCCGTTTCAGGACCTGTCCATGACTTTTATGCATTTTTTGGTTCCAACCAACCTGACACAGCCATGTCACATGACACGAGCGCCCGTGTCAGCCCCTGTTCATCTTTTTCTGCTCATGTACGCACCAGAAACATTGACATGGGCCGTGTCGTTTGACACGGGCACCCGTGTCAGCCTCTGTCCCTGCATATTATCATGTTTTTCAACCCAAATAAGCTGACACGGGACGTGTCGTGTGACACGGGTACCCGTGTCAACTTCTGGTCTGGCTTTTTATTAGTTTTTTCTCTTTGACCTGTCTTGTTATATCTTTTGAGCGCAAAAGCAAATGATGTATGAATAATTATATCACAGTTTGAGAAAGTTTACCTCTCGAAGCAGAATATTTAGAACACGTACGGATGTTTCCGAGTGTAAAGTGGTGATTGATCGAGCTCCTTTGAACCTTCTTGAAGTAACTCCAACCTTCCTTTTGTACTGAAAATGGTTGAACCGCTCCAACCAAGTCAAGTTGCAATGTATGTTTTTTTGAGTTTAGAAGATGAGGGTAATGATGTTACAGAAGTTATTCTTATGTTTGAACAACTTCTTTATGGTGTATATGAAGTGTTTGGATGGTTTGTTTGGAGAAAACTTGCAAGGTATGATATTCAAAGATTTGGACTTCAAAGCTCAAAAATGGAGGTTTTGTGTACAAATCTGGTTTTTGACAGCAAAAATGATTTTGAGTGTTAGTTTCCCCTCCTATTTTTTGGCCTTTCTCTCTATTTTTTCTAACCTCTTTCTCTTGCAAATTCTTCTTCTATTTATAGGCAAGGGGTTTGTGCATATGAGCTGATTAGGTTTTCAAAACAGCATGTTATGGTTTTGTTGGATTACAAAGATCAAACTATGTCAAGTACTCCATAGTCCCAAGATGAAGTACCAAAGTTGCTGGTATAGAGGAGATACTTCCCATGATTTATGGTGGAGTATAATCAGCAACAAGAAAGGTATGGGCTTAAGATGAACTTTGTACCAAAAGGCTTTCTTTTCAAGAGTAGCAATGGTGCCTTTATGCCATAAATGGAAAGATCTTTTGGACAATGGCTCAAACACTTGGGTAATAGCTCAAGCTCTTGTGTAAACATTAAATTATGTAGAGAGATTTGCAAGCAATAAGGTATGCAACATAATATTATTCAGCATAGCATAAGGGTTTTGTTATGTGTTCTTCAATAGAATGACTTGCAATTCAAGGATGGATGCCAACTTCAAGCCCTTGAATCTCCTATCTCAAGTATGATAAATTCATGCTCTTGAATGTTTTGGAAAGATTGAAACACCCTCTATAACTTTAATGTTGGCCATTTTGACAAAATCATCTCGTAACTATGTGAAAAAATTCCAAGAAGTTGGGATAAAATCTTAACCAAAACTGCTGAAAATTTCTCTAAGTGTTTATTCAAAAATGCCATGACTTCATGAATTTATAACTCAAAATCCAAGCATTTATAGGGAAAATTTTTCCCTATAATGTTTTAGATCTCATTGAGATATACAACTTTCATGTTGGAAGTTTCCCTTGAATCATCTTGCATCATGTTGGAAATTTGGCATAAAGTTGTGAAAAAAACATGAATTTTCCAACACTTAGAAAAATTTCTAAGTTTAAAATTTTGACTTTTCAAAGATGAAATTTGAATTTTTGATTTCTTGATGAACAAGTTTCATATTCTTGAATGTATTGATGAAATTTGATCTTTGGAATGTAATGTTGACTAAAAAGTCAATGTTTGACTTTCCAGTATGTAATTGACCATTTTGCCCTTGTGCCAATTCCAAGCCTAAATTGATGTATCAGTGCTGTAAACTTGATGTCATAGAAGATCTTGTGAGAGAATCCTTGAGAAATGAGAGGGAAAATTTTGGGGTACAACAACTGCCCCTGTTCAATCTTCTTACACCTGAAGAGTTAGATTGGTAAGTCTGCCATTCGTGACTTGAAGGTGAAAGATGATTGAACACTAGAGTGCCCAGAAATTTGCACTCGAAGATGGATGGTGAATGGGCTTATAGATGCCATTTGGAGGAATGTTGGTAAACACTGGAAGAAGTATTAGCACAAATCTCTTGTTGATTTATACTAAAACTTGATGTTTTACCTGTAGGAGACAAGAGTTAGTAAAATGCAAATGCCTGTATGATGTTCATCAGATGTGGTATTATGCTAAATGCATATGGTATGTACATTCTATGATGTATGAATGTGAGATGTATGTTTTTGTCCGAGGAAATAAATCCCTGACTGCAGCTGAGGAAATTCTGGGTGGTTGAATCCCTGATTGCCGTTGGAGATGAAGAATATGTATATCTTCAAATTTTGTTGAAATGATGCTTTCGTTGGGGAATATCGCTTGAATGTCAACTGTTATCTGGTCTGATCCAGGCTTCACGATTGCTGAGGATGAAGTAGTCGACTGTTATCTGGTTGGATCTAGGCTTCACGAAAACTTACTGGAGGAGGAGACAAATTAACTGTTATCTGGTCTGATTCCAGGATTTGCAGAAAAATTCTTGAAATTGAATAGTTATCTGGTCGGATCCAGGCTTCACAACAACTTGCTGGGGATACGGAAGTTAACTGTTATCTGGTCGGATCCAGGCTTCGCAGTAACTTGAAGTGATAACTACTATCTGGTCGGGTCCAGGTTTCATGGTTTTTTGGAAAGTTATACTATTATCTTGTCGAGTCCAGGCTTCAGGTTTCACAATATGTGTATCTCCGGGGATCACAGTTAATTGTTAACTGGTCGGGCTCTAGGCTTCACAATAAACTATTTGAAAAAAACTGTTATCTGGTCGGGTCCATGCTTTGCAGGTTGATGAGGTTGATGAGGTCAACTGCTATCTGGTCGGATCCAGGCTTCACAACAAACTGTTTGGGGATTTAATTGTTATCTGGTTGGTTTCCAGGTTTCATAACGAATCTCTGAGGGTAATTGCTATCTGGTCGGATCCAGGCTTCACAACAACTTGCTTGAAAAGATGAAATTGAAAACATATATCTGGTCGGATCCAGGTTTCACATTAATTTTTTGGGGCAGAAGCAAATTTTACTAGGGAAAAGAAGTTAAACCTTGGTCAGATTGAGTCCAGGTTCTTCTATATCTTTGAAGAGTTAGACTATTATCTGGTTGGGTCCAGGTTTCATAGCATATTGAAATTGAGATCAATTGTTATCTGGTCGGATCTAGGTTTTAGATACTCAAACTGTTATCTGGTCGGGCCCAGGTTTCAGTAATTGAAGAAGTTAAACTATTATCTGGTCGGGTTCAGGCTTCAGTAATAACTTGAAAATTATGCTAATATCTGGTCGGATCCAGGCTTCATAGCATCTTTTGGAAATAGTAAAGGCTTTACTGACGACTTTACTGGGGATCAGGGGTTGTGGCTCTGTGATTTGCAATAATCTGAAAGGGAAATTCAAACTGGAGAGTGTCGACTGAGTTGAGTAG